AAATCAGATTTTCCTACCTCCAGTTTCAGGTCCCAGAGGCGGGCAGAGGAAATCCTGGTCACAGCCAAAGAAGTCATTTTTGGCTCTGAAATAAATTTTCCTGCTTTACTAGAGCCAAACCCTACCATTGAGAGTACCATAGCTTTAAGCAATACTTTAACATTTTTTTATATATATTTTGCTTTAGCAACCTGATTCTTCAGCAATATGAAACTGTTTTCAATACCTCAGAATTAGGGTTTTGGCCTCTCTTTCTTAAATCAGCATTGTTTATTATCAAGTACACTTCAGAGCTTTAATAATTTCTTTCTTCCTAACACTGACAAAGTGCTTTAGACTCTTCTCTTCGTGAAAATGAGTGAACGTGAGATACTACATGTTGAAAATTTTTAAGTGAGGCAACTGGAAAAGAAACTAAATTATATTCTTTAAAGGTTCCACAGAAAATAACTTATAAAAGCATACAGTTACTTCAGGAGACCAAACGCTTGCCATTTAATACCACAAGTCGTGGCATATATTTAGCACAAACATATGGAGAAAATAAAATTGGATATTAAACATCACACTTGACAATGAGTTTCTTGCCCAAGTAGACGGATGTCTGGATCCAAAATGTTACAATTCAAAATATATAACAGAAGTTAATGAATAGGATGTTAGCATCAGATAACATGTATCTGGGATTACACATCTTTTGCTGTCACGTTATTTATGTTCTCTAATATTACAGTTCACTGGTATTAGCATCAAGTTACAAATCATAAAATACAGCTAGAAAGCAGGTTGATCACAGACAAGTAATATTAGTGGAGATGAGCCAACATCAAACTGCCAACATAAAATATTGGTCTCCAAAGGTACGATTCTACAAACCCTTCTGATTGTGCACAGTCCTCGAAGTATTAAAGGGATTACTCACATAAGTAAAAGCTATGTGCAGGAGTAAGGGGTTATGGAATTGAGTCTTAAGAGGACTTTTATTAACCCAAAAAGCAGACATGCAAGTGTATTTTCATGCAGAAGCAGAGTACTTGTTAGTGATTTAAATCAATCCCAGAAGTATATCATTCATGGATATTCCAAGGGAATTGGTAATCACTTGCATTTCCTATTTTTAAAGGGATGTCATTATTAATCATCTTATCAGGTTCTTCATTCGGTATATCTACTTAAGCACCTATTGCCATGTACCTGTGTTCACAGTTTTATGTCTATACAGGTCTAATGCAACTGTATCACTGTGTTTTGAATTTTCTTCTGTCTGCTCAAAACTCAAGCTCCTCCCAAAACTTCAAAGCTGGAACTTTTAAAATTTCCAGGTTTTTTGGTTAGCCTACAAAATCTAAAGAAACACTAACTGACTATATCATAAAAGCAAATGTTGTAACTGTGCTATAAACCTTAACTGTTTCATTTGGGAAATTACTATGTCCTAAATTCCGACAAAGAAAGATACACTGTACGGTTTCCTCTAATGTTTAAAAAAATCTGGATTCTTCTAACTCCCTGAGAAAATGAAAAAATTCCAACAGAAAAAACTGTTAGTAAGGAGAAACATTTACAGCAAAACCAGCCACCCTGAAAGAAAGTCACTCGGTTGTACTTGGAAGGGAGAATTCGTAACTTCTTAGGATGATGGGCACTACTGACATGCTTGGAAAATGATCCTGAATAGGAAGAAGTATTTGAATAAAATACTGTAAAGATTTTCCTCCTGATAGTCGTATCATAAATTATTTCTCCTGTTTAATGCAATGAGTATTTGAACATTAGCTTTCACTTTAAAAAACAATTCTATTCCCACGCCAGTTCCAAAGGATTTAGATCTGGTCATAAAAGTATGGCTAAAAGAACTGAAGTTGCATCATAAGCAGGATGGCACAAGTATCATTTAAGCCCCACGGCTTGTGACTTTTGGATTCTAATAGCTAATGAATCCGTAGTACAGCCAGCCAAACTCCAACTGGACAATAGTTTAAGGCTTAACTATAGACAATCAATTATCTATAATTAATAAAGACTCTCTCTTCATTTCAGGTAATACTAATAACTATCTGCTACGTGACAGCATCGTTCATAGCATCTCTTCCAATCTCTACAAGTTTCATGCACCTTTTTTTTTTCCTTATTGACTAATTAATACTCTTTTGTTCTACGCAGTTTTACTCACTGAAGATCACTCCAAAGCATTTAGAAGAATTATAAAGTGTACAGGAATAAAACTTTGTTTTCCTTTCTACAGGTAAGGTCTGTTGGTCTAGGGGGACTAAAATAACAACAGTATTATAAATTTGTTAATACAGATTATTAAAATCAGGATATCACACTGTTTTTATGTAAAGTTAAAAATCTTTTGAAATGTAGTGCTTGCTTTTCCATACCCTTTGATAATACATTTGTTTCATTGCATTCTGGGAAGCAATACTATGGGATCAGCTCACCCACAAACATACCAAAAGAATAGTTTCAGGTGAAAAGTGGTGTCATGTCCCATTCTCCCTCCCCTTTTTCTTTTTAATATTACATGCCAATCGTCATTATCAACAGCCAGTTTTCATAAAAAGTAGAATTTAAATTACTTTCCTGAGCTGACATGACCCTGAAAAAGATGCTTAATCTTCCAAATTTCTTTTTTACCTGTGCTTATATTTCTACAAAGCTACTAACTGACCTTCTTCAGCGAACAGAGTGACTATGCTTCACTGTCATTCTTCATGCAATTAAGCTCAACTGGTAAAAGAAATATGCATTAATCCAGAACTTTTTGGGGTATCTGATAAACCTAAAGCCTGGGACAAAGCAAAGTATCATTCAATCTAAAGGAAAGTACTACTAGCTGGATATCACTCTGGATTGAAGTTCTTGAGCAAAAGAAACATTTACAATAAAAACAACCTCCTCTCCTATTATTCGAGAAGCACTGCCATGCACCAGACAGCTCCTCAAACCTGATGCTAAGAGACTGGTGCATGCCCTTCTCTCATCTAGAATTGATCACTGCAGTGCTTTGTGCATTACCATATCTAAATATATACACTCAAACCTTTAGCTGCCTACAATTTGGCAGCTAGTGTTTCTATCCCTACTTAAAAATTTAGAGGTTTCTTTTAGCTCAATTTAAAAAAAAGATAGTTCAACACAACACTGATTTCTCTGAATTTAGTCATCAGTAGTGGGATGTACTGCCCGTGATTCTATTATATTACATATTTGGTTGAACACAAGGTAAAAATCAAATACACTTTTTAATCTTAAGGAACATAATCCACTGTGAACATAATTCACCCGTGACACATTCTTTTCAATTTAATTTTGTATCATCTAGAACACAAAAATACTGACTTATTGGAAATCATTTGGAGTAAATTGTAAGAGTTCCAGCCATACTACAGACCAAGTATTTCCAAAATATCACTTCAGAACATGCTTCTAAAACAAAGCATTTCTAACACTAGAAAGCGTGCTATGTATTTGTTGAATGTAAATGTTTTTATACTGCAGTACAGCATGTCATATTTTAGTAAGACAAAAAAATGTTGCAGCTGAATAAGTGCTTCAAGAAAATGATGCAAGCACTGGAAGAACATGGCACTAGGCAGCCACCACTAACATAACCTTACTAGGCCTTATAGGATGTGGGTTTTTTCCAGCAAGGCTGTAATTAGGCACACACTGTAGACAACAAAGAAGTCTTTGGTTGTTCACTTAAGCTTAGAACACACCTCTAAAACCAAAGCTGTGACTGTTTCGGCTTTCAAGTGCAAATCTATGATTTTCTTGTTTGATTTGGCATTACTCATAACCAGAATCCAGCTGTTCCTGGTATTTATTTATTGTGGTACTTCACTCTGTTTCTTAGCATCAGAAAGCTCTAAAAGCCAAGAAGTTCTAAAAGGTACACATAAGAAAGCAGTGATGTGGCTATTATTATTACCAGGAAGAAGTGTGTTAGCAGCTGGGCTACTACCTCAGCGGCATGCACAGATGACTAAAAAATAAGTCAACTTACAAACTAGTCAATAATGAATTGAATTTTTCAGTACATAGAAATGTACTGTAAGTCTAGAAAAACATTTTTCCATATTCACTGGGGGTAATTACACAACAGCACAGGCAGCAGGATGCTACTTTGGCCACCTGCTGAAAAATAGAAACAGTCTCAAATTTCTTTCATTGGAGGCAATTCAGAATACTATCTTTAGAAGGCAATGAGAACTTTTTGCCTGAAGTCAGATGAAACTTGAATTATCAAAAACGTAACGTTATCAGTATCCAGGAAGAGCTTTTGTTATATCATAATTTCATACCTCAAAATTTCAAGCTAATGAAGCAGCATTAGCTTGGAAAAGGTTTACAATTCCACTCTCTGTTTAAGTGGGAAGTGTCCTACACAGTGACACTACAGAAGGCAATAGGGATTGGAAAGGTGACACACTATGGTCAATGATCTAGCGTGTGAAAGACATGCCTTCATTATATTACTATTTTACATTATGACTACTGTTATCTTTCCCCCTATTTTCCAAAATAATCTTTTGACCAATCCGAAGAACTTATTTTAAACTGTTTTCCTACCATTTACCCTAGATACAGTGGTGGGTTATTTGGTTGTCTAAGTCAGGAAATAACTTCATTTCTATAGCAATTACATTAGTTTTGGGATACAAAACCAGGCAAGTGAAGATGGAAACATACTGGTGTTTGGCAGAGTATAACGTTAACAAGCATTTAACAACACAATAGCCTTCACTAGCAATGTCAGACAAATATTTACGATACATCTAGCACGGTATACATTTATTCAGAATGATGTGAGCCCACACAACCTGCTGTGCTGTTCCTCCTCTTAACTGTGTAGCAGGTAACTCAAAGAATTCAAATGGGATTGAGGAGAATCCAAGGGTAAACATTTAGAAAACATATTTGTGCATATTTGGGGTTTTAAACACGACACAAAAATAAAGCACAACTCTTTCAATGAGGTGTTGATATCCTACCTGAAGGTCTTTCACATTTGGAAACGGAATACCTATGGTTATAACTGCACGGGCATTCTCATCACAGAAATCCAAGCCTTCACTAACTTTTCCTCTGCATACAGCTATAAGGAGTGCTCCATCTTGAACAAGCCAGAGAGGAATATACAAATCATTCCCAGTGATAAACTGAGTATCAGAAGAAAGTTTCATCAACACCTTTTAAAGAGCTAAATATAATATAGCATAAGACCCAGTGCATCAGTCTGCAAAAGGTGAGTGGATATAAAAATATGGACTATTTTGTTAGAGGCGTGAGATTAATTCCACTCGATCAATAATACTGCGATTTTGAATATCAACTAGCAAAATGATTTCGCACTACATAATACAGTGGTACCTCATTATGCAAGAGCCATATGTACCTACAACAAAATTTTAAATTTTAACATTAAATTTTGCATTCCAAAAGTCATGCTACTTATTGTTTGCCACACTATAATTCTTTGTTCTCTATACTAATGTTTGAGTAATTTGAGGAGAAATCCTATAATGGCTGTAATAAGATGGCAAATCACCGTTATGCAATGTACTGTCAGTTTGATTCTTTGGGAAGCCATTCTGCACCCTACTGGACACACAATTGCACATCCTTACACCGTTCACTGCCTTTTCAATACCATTATTGGGATTATGCATCACCATGTACATCCCTATATCCTCATGCAATAATATAAACAGCATTTAATCTTCCTCATTTATCAGAATAATTTATGAAGCTGAGATGAACGAATGGTTTATCCATACCTTATTCTACTTTAAGAATACTTTTTTATTTAAAACACGAAGAGTCTGTATCAACTACTTTGTCTGAAGAACATACCTTTTTCTCCTTTATGTTTTATTGCATCATAGTATATTTTCAGCAGTTCATCAAAGTCACTCTTTGCCCCTCCTTGAGGCTCTGCAATGACTGTCTTAACCAGCTCCAGGTTTCTCCATAAGCCAGTGTGCATCCAGCGATCTTTTAATTTATCCAACAGCTGAAAACAAACAGAAACATCCAGAAGAACTGCAACGAAAGGTCAATCACTTGAACTGTTCAAATAAAGCACACAAAGGCACTTATTTTAGTGAAATTATGTTACTCAGTTTTTGTCTTTATGAATGTTTCCTTACTATATACTGTTCCACAGCTATACACCACTTTGTAAACATGATGGCCACTAATTTTGCTAATTGGAAACAGTGCAGATTGTTGAGTTATCAAAGCAAAACTCTCTAAATCTATGAGTGGTCACTAAAGAGCATCTTCTGGTATTCCTCAAAGCAACAGGAATGTCATTGAAAGAAAACTGGAAATTGCCTGGTTTGCTGATTACCACATAAAAGATCCATAAGACTGGAAGCAAATTCTAAATTAATTTGAAACAAGCCTTTATATCTTAGATTAAAATGTATATAGATAAGTTGGGGGAGGAGGTATTGACACAGGATTTACCAACAGCTCCCTCTGCTTCTCGAAGGGCCTGCCAGCTTTGTTATATCTACAGATTCTGAACTGTGCACACTTTACTCCAAGTCAGTTCATGTTCAAATCTTGCAAGCAAATAAGCTTGTTCCACATCTAGTGTGAGCATGACGAAAATACGTATTGCATTACAAAAAGCAAGGTCCAAAATTACCACAGAAACTGAACTGAGATGGGTGGGGGACCATTTTCTGTTAGTAGTCATCACACGCCATTTTCTCATCAATTTTTAGACTGAATTTTATCTAGACATGGAGCAAAAGAAGCCACTCCTTCACCTGACATGCTTGCCTGATGGTGCACAGCACTGTCCTCCAGACAAAAGCAAGACAACCAACACATTTTAGAATGATCTGAGTAGATTTGGTTCAAAGGACAGAAGTAAATACTTTATTTCATTCCTGTTAGTGTTCAGTGATCATTAGTGCGTCACTAACTATTGTGCAGCAGTTACTGAGCTTCACACGCACAGAGATTCTAAATGCACAGAGTCTGTAATAAGGGTTATGCTCTTACTTTGTCTGTACTTCGCTCAACTCCACTCACTGATGACTTTTTCAGTCTTTTGATTCAGTCTATATAGACAGCTCCATCTTGGAACATGCATTTGTCCCAGTTCTTCAAAAAGCCACAGCATTCCTTAACTTCAACCCATTTGCCTTTCTGACTCACGCCAGCCAACATCTCAGGCTCCTGAATGGTTACAAAATTAATCTGTCCCATGTCCAAATATATGGTTTAAGCATTATTGTGAAGCAAAACTAATGGTAACTAATTGTTGTCACACCTGACTTTACAGGTGTATTTACACTTGCAAATTTATAGGAAACTGTTTACAAGATTAGTAATTGTGTATTTCATGTTCTAAGCACTGAAGATCTGAACTTACTCTCTGACATTAAATATTTGGATTGAGCCCTTTTGAGGTACATGTGGTTCAGAGGGGACAAATGCTGTGTTATTGTTGATTTTTCACTATCTTTGTTCAAGCCTCTGTTCAGGGAATTACATTTGCTTACTACTGACAGGACACTTTCCTAAGCAAGCACAGAGAGACTAAGTGATAAATAGTACAAAGTTTCCTACATATACAGACGTTATTGTAGAATAAATCATCTTTCCTAGATGTGTCTGTCCTACTGTTGTCCCCCTCTCTACCAGCTCTGTCATTTCCTGGCAGCGTTCTGTCTGTAATCTCTTTTTATATAAAAGGTTGTAATCCTATGACCAAGCAATGACTGTCCATCTTGCCATCCACAGCCTGCCACTATGTCTTCAGTTCTTGGATAGGAAATGGAGATAATTGTGGTAAAGAAAAGAATTGAGCAAATTATGCCTCTAAGTACATCCCATTTGGGATCTGCTAGAGCTGCCAGTGACTGTAATAATATTAGCTTTCCAGATTTCATTCTTCCTTCTATGGAACTAATGTCTGGCTGGGCATTCACTTTGCAGTCCCTGCTAAATCCAGTCCTAGCACTGCCTTCTGTTTACCACACAGGACACAAGGAGGCCAGTAAGATAATATAGACAGGATGTACCTGGGTATAATTGAATCTGACATTTACATACATAAAATTATCCATGCTTTGGACTCTAAGGGTCACGTGCCCCTGACTTTGTCCTCCTCCTACCATCTCAGCTGCTGAAAACAACTGGTATTTTTCCTCAAACCTTTATGACACGCTCTTTAGCTGAAAAATTGTTTCTTATTTTTAAGAGAACCAAAGTCTGCTGACAGTTTCAGAAAGTTTCAGAAAGGGGAAGTTTCCTTACAAAATATACTTAATCCCTCAATTCCACTGTATTTCTCCCATATTTGAAAGTAATATAACTTAAAGTCATAGTTGGAAAGATGGCAGTAGAAAACCTTCCTCCCAATTCTTAAGAAAACATCCCTTCTCTTTTGTGGGTTACCCAGCCCCTCCAGGCCATCATCTGTTAGACCATAATAGGTTCAGGTTTCTTGTTTAATTGACAGCAACCATCACAACAGAAAAATCTACAGTTTTTGATGGAAATAGGTGAATTATGCATGAAAATCTTTGGCAAGAATGGAACAAGTCATTTAATTCACACAACAGTTATTACCTCTTCCATTTAATGGAGTTTGCTAGATAGGGAAACTTTCTTGTACACCAGAAATTATGCACAAACCCACACAATACTCATGCTACAGATACAGACGCTAAAACGACAAGTATTGTGGACATGACTGAATACAAATAAATAAAATATAGTACACATACATGCCTCATAAGAGCTAGGAATCAAATGCAGGATTCTCATAAAAAAATATTTCACTTCATGTTGAAAAAGTGCAAATGGGCGCAAGATATAATGCCAGGAATCACAGGAAGCAACCATTAATGCCCATAGTCAGTCACTTTTTCTACCCAAGGGAATAATAGTTTCTGCAGTGGAAGGCAGTCTGCGTATATTTTATTAAACCCCTTAAAAATGGATTCTCAAATGGTTTATTAACAAATGGTCTTCCTCCAAGAGAGCAGAAAATCTTGTTAGAAAGAATCTGTCATCTTCCCATGCACTGAAGGATGTTTACTTTGATCGCTTTTTCCTTTCTTCCCTTCTGCAATTTAAAGACACCTGTAAGCTACGATCCATAGAAACCTATGATCTCAGTGTTTAGATTCACCCTTCATTTTTGTCAGTATCCCCCTTTTTAGACAGCTTTTGAACCACTCTTGAAGTTTGGGAATGGAGGAAACTGTTTTCTCAACATCTCTTGCCATTATGTTGCACTCCTAGACAAAATCCTCTCATCCTGTGTCCACGAAGGGAAAGCTTTGCCCCTTTTCATTTGCCGCTTCGTTTTATACGGTGCCAAAAATCGCATTAGGCGTTTCCCATGTCATGAAGCAAGACCGAAGACTTGTTTAATGTATTTTCCCCTCAGGCAAGTTCATTGTAATTTCCAGCATCTTAGCAAAGTTGAAAAGTTAACTTGCAGCCACCAGGCTGCTGGGGATGCACTCTCTCTGCAGTATTCATTACCTCCTGACAGTGATTTCTCAAGTAACAAATACCTGAGATGAGGGAGGGTCTAACAGAAAACACTAACTTGATGAGTTACTTGCTTTGGTTTACAGTTCCCTAGCTCTTGTCCTGCTACAAGGACCTGTTACTAAATTTCTTCACATAGAATATTCCTTAAATATTTTAGCATGGATTCATGTAATGAATGGATTGCACCTTGGCAGCAGAGTAAAGAGGCATTAGAGAAATAATCCCTCCACCAAAAAACGCTTGGGGAAGCTATGGAACACTTAAAAACATGAAAGGATGTTCAAGAGAAGTGCAGGACAGAAAGGATCATAACCTAAGCAGCATCTGACAGCAGAGTAAAATAACTCTGGCTTTATCGGCCAGTTTGACAACTATTAACTATTTAATGATAACCGTAAATTACAGCTGTATTGTATATTCTTGTGCGTCCTTAAGAGTATAGGCTGTCTGGTTACCAAGACATTTATATAATGACAAATGAACAAAAGGTATTTCAGGGTGCACAAAACTTTACACAAGTATCTTGTGTTCCTCTTCAAAGTCTGCTACTGTACACTAAAACCCCCACTGCTCCTAACTTCTGTATGTTGTCATCTTGTTTCTCTGTAACAGTTTTTTAATTATATGAAGTTCCACTTTTCATTGTTATTCAGATATAAAGGGTAGCTGGAGGGGGGGGTGGGGAGGAGGAAACAGCCATTAGGTTTTTCTTAATAAAAATCACAGTATTGGCACCACTGTTAGTGCAAAAAGTCAGAGATGCCCAAGGGACTAACATTGATCTAAAAGCCTTTTCCCATGCAGAGCTCTTCATGTGTTTGCTACCAGAATTTTCTTTTTGAATAAGCACTGCTTCAAATCAAAGTGTGTCTCCAGTGGGCTGGAAACATGTTTGAAGGGTCAAATAGAAGTTCTACATGCAGTCAGCACAAAACTTCAGAAATGGAAAACAGACATCTACGGCCAACCCAGAGCCTGAGCAACAGGACTTACCTCGCTAGACTCCGTTTTGGTAGAACTAGGAGGGCCATGGTACACTTGGGACTCAAAGGGCAATCGCAGGTAACAGGGTTATCACCCAGTTCACCAACATGTAAAAGCCACGCTCAAAGACGTACAGTGCTGCTGTAATGAAGTACTCTTACAGCATCCTTTAAGTGTCACTCCACTAATGCACAGTCCACAGACAAACTATGTTTACATGAAATGGAGTGAAGAAAGGTGTTGTCAGTTTTAAAACTAAAAAGAACACTAAATTCTCATAATACAAATATTTTCCCTTTAACTTCAAAGCTATGGACATGGTAGTTTTTTGGTTTTGGTTTTGTTTTTACTGTAACGTAGACATACACAGCTTAAGATCATTTCCACCTATGGTTTGTAAAACCTGCAAAGACTGGCCTAGGCCATTCCCTGATGAATACCTACAAATGATTATAGGAAGAATTTCCAAAGGGAATCTTGACTAAACCAGAACACTACAGA